GCTCTCGAAAGCGCCCAACAGATTGTAGCCTTCAGCAGGCTTTACACATATAACACATATATTATCACAAATGGCGTTGAAATGTGATAAAAGATACGAAATTTCAGCCATCTTTGCATTGCTCGATAAAAAAGTCTTCAAAATGTGGGTACTTCTGGGTACTTCTTAGCCTGTGCAGTATTTCGAACTTCATTTTGCTGGCGTGAGGTCCACATTTCAGGGGCACCCAACGAGAACATAGTTCAAAACCACTTAAACATAGCGTTGTTAAACGTATTTTAGTATTTAAACGGTAGATATAGACATAGTTTATCCCCCCAAAATTTTTCACCTGTTCGGATTTCCTAGCTAAATCACTAGTGATCAGAAAATTATAGAGCTCAAAACTTACCTTTTCGAAAATTTCAGCCAGAAAAAAGGCTCCCGAAAATTCTACGTGACCTTTTTAAGGTAAAAATCCGTTAAAAATGGGCAATTAGAGCATTTTTTAGATGTTCCAAAATCCTACCAATGGCAGGCCAGCAGCAAATTTTAGAACAAACGTTCCGAAAATTCTAGACCTCAAATCGTCTTCCGCACAAATATTTTCCGAAAATTGACGTTGGGTGCCCCTGACATTTGGAAGACTTCATCATATAATAAAAAAAAAACAGACTTCAAACTTGCAGTCATAAAAGTATGGAGCTCTGAAGCCCCGTGCAAACGGACGCAATATTGTTGGATGTTACATGTTGCGTCTGTTTGCACACCCTGTTGCAGGTTGTTGGATGTTGTTCCGTGTTGTTGCGCAAAGTTTGAAACCGGTCAAACGTTACTGCCAACAACTCCCAACATTTCTTTTGTTCTGTGATAGCCGAAGCGTAGCGCAACAACGTTGGATCCGTTTGCACGGTTCTTCCAACATTGTAGGGGCCACGCACGCTAATTGCGCATGGATCACAAATACCTATGGGTCGTGTTCTTCCCACGATGCACTACAGGTCCCAAACTTGTTGGGAATTGTTGCCTCCGTTTGCACACCACTGCCAACATGACACATGACTCAGTTAACATTTTCTTCAAATTTTTATTGAAATTTGCTTTAAATTCTGCATTTTGGAACAAATTATACCCACTGTATTGCTCATATGTATTTCTTCTGTAAATAACAAAATATCGTTGCTCAGATTTCAATCAACAACGGCCCCCACTAACAGAGGGTGGTCTGCCTGTGGTTGGCGCAGCAATGTTGGGAGTTCTGCGCCCGTTTGCACGCAGTCTGAGGCTTATTTACTGAAATTTTAGAGAAAAATATGTCGTAGAATTTCCAAGTTATTGACAGTTTTTGCAAAAACGCGGTTTTAAACATATGCCGATATCTCGAGCATTTTTATATCTACAAGAATAACAAATTTTCTTAAAGTTGCAGAATTCGGTTGAATCGCTCCCGCGTGCCGAAAAACGCCATTAAAAAACATAACCAACGTGCATATAAATAGGTTCGGGCCACCTCAATATTGTTGTTAAAACGTAGAAATTTAAGCATAAATATAGAAATAAATTTCATTTACGCAAACTCGAGTTTGTTGTTACTGTTTCTGTGTGACCTGAGCTGGGCACAATTCATGGCCATTTTATACGGTTTTGCGGCTCGTTGTAGGTTACTGTGCGCACAGGCCAACCAGACGTAGTATGTGTCACCGAATGAGTATATTTATATTCACATGGACAAAACGGGAGGAGTCGTCGAAACTCACATGAACTAAAATAGTCCAAAAGTCAAAATATAACAAAATAAAGCTAAGATACCTTCAATTGAACGTTTTCTTGTCTGTCCTGGCCGGTTAAAGTGGTATTTTGACGAGTTTGTAATCGTAGGTACTATCCACTAAAGAAGAATTAAAGGCTGGCTACAAAGCAAACGGACCATCTCCACGCGCCTTCACGCGAGGCGCTATAAATGCGAGAATAATCGACGAATCCGCTCCAAATTGTCATCGGCTAATCTGCAGGTAACGTGTGCTTCGGCTTCTAGCTCGCTAGCTCCACAAAACCCATCGCAACTGCGCGATAATCGCTCGCTCATCAACAAACACTGTTGACTTTTACGCTTCGATATGACCGCAAAACTGCCAGGATTAATACGCGACGTGAATGTTCAAGCTTAGCGACCGCGTCCGAGCGACAATGCAGCACTTGCTATGGGAGGGATGGTACTATTGCTTCTAGGTCAATCAATCGGGAAAATAATATTGAAGCCCTTGTAATTTTCAAAAAGATCCAATTTGCCCTAGGATCACCGAACAGATACGAATTTTATAGCGGAGCTAAAAAAAATGAGCGGCAGTGGAAAAAGTGAACAAAAACATGCATATGCCACCCAAATTTCCTCCATAAAATGTGAGAACCAGGAAGTTTTCTGGACGTTTCACGTTGTACTCATGCATATTAGTGGCAAGGAAATGTACAAAAAAGTGTGCAACGTCAATTTTCGGAAAACATCTGTTGGGAAGACGATTTGAGATCTGGAATTTTCGGAACATTTCTTGTATAATTTCTTGTTTGCCTTCCTCTCCTAGGATTTTCGGACATCTAAAAATAGGTATAATTGCCCATTTTTAACGAATTTTTACCCCCAAAATGTCACCTAGAATTTTCGGGAGCCTTTTTTCTGGCTGAAATTTTCGGAAAGGTAAGTGTTGATCCCTATAATTTTCGAATCTCTGGACTTTCAGTTAGGAAATCCGAACAGATGAAAAATTTTTAGGAGATAAAAATATGCCTATATGAACCGTTTAAATACTAAAATACGTTTAACAATGCTATGTTTAAGTGGTTTTGAACTATATTCTCGTTGGGTGCCCCTGAGTGACACATACTACGCCTGGGCCGCCTGTTCTGTGTGCAGTCTCAACTCACAAATCTCTCCCGCATCAAAGAACCGCACACCGATTCCACCTGGCCGACCAGTTGAGTCTCTTATCATGGGTATTGCGATGTGTTTTGTTGTGGGAAACGTTTTTGAAAGTTTTCGGTTCTGTTCAATCTTACGTGCGCTCAGAAAACTCGATGACTACGTGTTGCGTGGTGAACGCGAATGACTTTAGATCGTTTTCACTGTCACACAACAAAAAAATAAATTGGAAACCGTCCTGTAGAAGAAGCCAAGAAAATGAAATGTTATAAAAGACTAATACATAAACAATTTATCTAAGTCTCAGGTCTTTTTGGCCCGCATTTTTCTGAGTTATTTGCCGAAACGTTTCCGCACCTTTGCAGAGCTTTGTAAGGAGACGCCATATTGGTGCACAGTTTTGGTCCACCAATTTGGCTGCCGGAAATCAACAAAAACATCTGGAGTTCACTTTTTCTGTGAAAGCTCTTTCTTTTCACTCGAGAACTAGCATACGCGCGCAGAAACATATCTTGTAATACTTGAAATGGTTGTACTGCTGAAAATGAAGAGGAGAGGCTATTTTTCAGCGAGACAGCATTCCTATTTTGGTGTCACGCACTGTGAAAACTCGGAAGTTCAAATTGCTGTATTTTCGAAATGAAACATGCTACAGGAATGGAAACTTGTACAGAGATTTATTTTTGCTTTATTTTCAACCTAGTGTAAATATGAATTCGTAAAACCTCGCTATTTTGACTTTACAATTTGATGACGTCACCCTGAACCGCTCACGCGCGATATAGTAGACTATCTGAGGGTAGGAAGATTCATGTTTTATCATGTAATATTGATTACCAGATTCCCCGAGTCCATGTCTGTGATAAACCGAAATACCGTAAAATTCCGAAAATAAGCCCCTCCATGTAACGCAAAAAACCCTCCGTTAAATCTCCCCTCCAAATATAAGCCCCAGGGGGGCTTGTACTTGGAAAATTTCCCTCAAATACAAAGTAAAACAAAGCAAAAACGGTAAATTTACTTCCAACTATAAGGCTAGCCCAATCGATTTTGAGACGCAAATTTCCCTCCGTAGATAAGCCCCTCCAAAAATAAGCCCCTCAAAAATGGCCTTTGAAAAATATAAACCCCGGGGCTTATTTTCGGAATTTTACGTATCCATAATTCGAAAAGTTGACCTCGAAGTCAGTTTTTAGCTCTTCTTTTGCAAAGAGAAAGGGATTTAAAGACCACTGAATGCTACGTGCATCGTATCTATATTACACTTGTATGCCGAACATCTTGGCAAAATTATCGTTTAATATAGCTAGAGGCGAAGACGAATTAAATCCATGATCAACATAATTTGGATTTCAACCATAACGCAATAACCCCCGTGGAGAAAGAGGAATAAAACGGAATCAAACTACTTGTTTTTCTTTTCACATGTTGGCACACAACATTCCGTGTTTTAAAAACACTTTCGGCTATCATATGTTGGCGTTTCTGACGAAATATTATCGAAACCTATTTCTCAACGAAAAATAATTACTGGAACTTTAGTAACGGTCTTTGATATGCAAATTTAATTTCAGCTAATTCAGTTTCGAAGGAGAGGCTTATAAATTCTGTAGAATATGCATATTTTAATAGTATTTGATTCAGTTACTGCAAAATTACAATTTTTTTCGGCTAATTTGCGGTTTTTGGTTAATTTACCGTTTTCTGTCCGCTATTTTTTACATGACCCTGTTTGAAGAAACATTCAAGGTATTTTAAATTAAGTAATAAATCTGACCTGTATACAATCTAATGTTGTTTACACCGTACTAGCCAGCAGGTAGTGACGTATTTCCGGTCCTTTCGGGCGAAGAGAAACAACAACTAGAAGTACATCTGCGTTCTCGGGCTATTAAAGGGAACCCCGCTATATCGTTAACTGACGGGAAAATCGTTCCTCATTAAAAAATGCTGTTATATACAACTTATTACAACTGTGGCAAGCTATATTTCACCCGGGGGCCCGCCGGTTCCTTTTCAATCCTTTGGGATTTAACTGTATGTTTACTGTCATCACTGGATCTTGTTTTATCTTGTTTAGAAGGATGTTAACCATAATTACTTCACAAATAAATTCTACGAGTCATCATTTTGGGAACTGTAGAAGAGAAGGACCTAGCAATACCAGAAAGCGACTGGGAGATAACAAGCGAGGATTAGAAAACCAACATGAAACTGTGCTTCATCTTCCCGCTCCTCCTTCTGCTTTTGTGCGCAACAGGTGAAAGTAACTTTTATCTTACGGACGCCTCACTATTACGCAAATTTCACTTATACCCGGCCATGTAGCCACAGCGTATAAAGTAACACTTCCACATTTGAAATATAAGGAATCGTTCTTTGTCTAAAAATGTTTAAAAGATACAAGCTTTCGACCATCTGAACTACGGTCTTCAACTGGCGAAATGATTTGAAAATAAAAAAATTCTTGAATATAGATAACAAAATAGATATTCTACTGAAATGACAGAAAATTTAATTGGAATTGTTTGTTTTATCACAGTATATCTTAGAATTTTTAGTGTTATTTTCCTAAATTATTTCACCCATTAAAGAGCGTAGTGGAGGCAGCGAAACGCTTGTACTTTTTAAATTTTTAAGCCAGAGAAGGTTTAATATTTTAGATATGACTGATCAATCGTGATATCCTGGCTGCCGCCCCGCCATCTTTTCTTTACTTTGCATACTGACTTCATTTTGCTAAAAGAAATATCTCGATTAAATAATCACCAACTTTTGCCGAAAGCCGAATTTGAACGGAGCAAAGGATAACATTAATTAAAAAAGTATATCATTTCAAATAGAACGGACCAAGCATATGTCTACGCTATACACGGCTTAACGGTGGTTCGACGGGCAAAAAAAAAAACATTCTCTCACAGTTCGGAAAGCGCCTCGTAGCGCGTTCATGCTAACGATCCCAACCAAGAACTCTTGCCACAACTTGGTAAAATCCCGAAACTTTAATTACAACAGGCCGGTTATTTCAACGAATGAAGTCTCAGGCAACGTTTCTAGACAGTCAGTGGAAGCCAAATGTGGCATGAATATTTCACACGCCGGGTTCGACAGTTAATTACATACTAGGGCGGCTCTCTATTACAACCGAAATGTTTATGTAATACGGTATAGTTTTTTAAACATCACGGGTGAAACATTGTTTTAGTTACTGACCATATGTAAGCCTTGGTTCAATGGTTCATTAATTTCAAACTATTTACAGAGAATAATATAGATAGAAAACAATAAAATAATAACAGTATAGGCTATAAAATGTGTGTAGTGGTCAAAGTAGCGAAAGCTTTCTATGGTTGACCACAAACTACTTTCGAATAAAACGAAGAAATGACACTATGAGCTTTATTACAGAATGGTTGGTCGCAAAGAGAAATGTACAGTCATTCAGCAAGGAAAAATGTACAGACATAACATGCCATAAACTAAGGCTCGCGTTGTAAATTTACAAAGACAAGGGACAAAGGTTACTACTTAACAAGTTACTACCCTGGGTTTTTAATGATATTTGCCCCTGTGTCATTTGACTGAACAAATCAGGGTTAATTAAAAAAAATCTTATGACACGGTTAAAACTGTGATTTTCTTTAACCAGAAACCTATTAGAATTCATGAATAAATTTCGGGCTTGGGGTTGAAAAAACTTCTGGACTCTTGACTCCAAAGGGTGTTTGAATGAATATGTAGCATGTAAATTTTTAAAACATCACTTCTAAGTTTACGCGTTATTATAATAATTTTTATTTTTCAGTTCAGTCGGCTAGTTATACCAAGAGAGATGTTTATCGTATCACGTTGATGGGAACACTAAGACAAATTAAAAGAATACTTGGTAAGTAACCGAATCAATGAAAAAGCGATTTCAAATTTGTTTCTAAACAGAGCATCATCCTGTTTTAACAAACAATCAGCTCAGTTTTCACCAACACTATCTTTCTTATATACAGATATATTCAGTCAACATTTATTATCCTGTTAGACTTTAATCGGAATTAATTGTTGGCTTTCGGTCCTTTTTTTTCTATTTATTCTTCCGTTGTCTTAAAATTTAATATTATATTTTCCCCAAACTGAGAAAACTTACACCTTTTCTTCAGGCGTTCCTTGTCCACAGGGCTGGGTGCGATTTAAAGGATACTGCTATCTTGTCAGTAGCTCTTTCAAGACTTGGCAAAATGCCCAAGCGTATTGCAAAGGACTGGGAGGAAATCTGGTGAAAATCAACAGCAAGGAAGAAAACGAGTTTGTACTAAACCTCGTAAACAAGCTCGCCCCATCGCTGAAGCAGATTTGGATCGGACTCGAGTGGGACTCTCGCCTAAAGGCCTCTGTGTGGTACGATCATTCAGTCCCTACCTTTATCAAATGGTCCCCAAATGAACCAAATGGAAATGGTCTGGAGCCTTGTGGCAACATGTGGACTGGTTACGAGGGGATATCTGCTAGGGCATCTGGCGACTGGAATGATCTCACTTGTCGGAATACTGTTGACCGATGTGGTCTTGTCTGCAAGAGGCTGCCCTAAGTACATGTAACCAGACTCCCGATCAAAGCCGACAGTAGATTGTACTGGAAAAATTAAAGCAGGTTCTCTGTCGACATTTTAAAATGCAGACAAGAAAGCATTTTAGTGCTAATTTGTAAAGGATTGAAAAAGCGGCTTGTGACTGAAATAAACATTATGTATTCCTTGTATCTTGTTTGTTTTTTCTTTTATGTGGACAATTCTTTTTTCTGGCTCATTTAGGTCTACCAGTGGCAGATCAGACCTTCAGATAAGTGGGGGAAAGGGGGAGTGGCGGGGGGAGCGGTGATATACGGGCCCGGTAAGCTGTCTCCGTTTACATTAAAGATCGAGGTTTCGACAGTTTAGCATCTAACGTGATAAAACTATAAGTTAATGAAACAAAATGGAGAAGTTTGCTAGCCAGGACTCGCGCTCTTATTCTTGAAATTTCGATTTGAATATTTGATTTCGGGCCCGAAAAGTTACCGGGACTTTTGAGAAACGGGTCCCTGGTCTCCAACAATTTTTTTCGGCCCTTTGGCCCTCAGGTTTGGTCGAAAAATGGAGGGTCTCGGGCCCCCCGGGCCACTCCCCCGGATATGCAATTTTACAACTGAAGAGACGTTGGCAGAAGTGCTGCTCATTGATTTTATATCATTTCAAAAATATTCTTCACAACCACGAAAAAACTGCCACGAATGTAACCGGCACGAAATTAACTACCGATTAAGTTTTAAAAACTTCCTGCTTTCCTGTCAGGCGTTCCCTGTCATACTGCTATCTTGTCAATACTTGGCAACATGCCCAGACGTAGTGCAACGGACTGGGAGGAAATCTGGTGAAAATCAACAGAAAAAACGAGGAAAACTAAACCTCGTAAACAAGCTCGCCCCGTCGCTGAAGCAGATTTGGATCGGACTCGAGTGGGACTCTCGCCTAAAGACCTTTGTGTGATGCGATCATTCAGTTCCTACCTTCACCAAGTGGGCCCCAAATGAACCAAGTGGAAAGGCCAGAGAGCCTTATGGCCACATGCGGACTGGTCACGAGGGGAGTTCTGGTAAGGCATCTGGCGACTGGAATGATCTCACTTGTTGGCATACTGGTTTACCATGTGGTCTTGTCTGCAAGAGGCTGCCCTAGATGTTAAGCCGGCTTCATGCCCGATCAAAGGCGAAAGTAGAGTGTAGTGCAAAAATTAAAGTAGATTCTGGGTCGACATTTTAAAATGCAGACAAGAAAACATTTTAGTGCTAATTTCTGAAGGGTTAAAAAGGCGGGTTGTCACTGAAATAAACACTCTGTATCCCTTGTTCAGTTCTTGTTTGTGTTTTTTCTTTTATGTAGAGAATTCCTGTTAGGATCCATCCTCGTCTCTTACTCACGAAAGTGGACAAAATTAAGTCGAAATTCGACATTGGTTGCAGGTCTAAATCAACCCAATAAGAGAACAGCGAGCAAACGGAGGTAAAAGAGCGAAATTCCTGATGTCACACATATATATTTTTTTTCTAGCGCGTACGCTTTTGGCCGCCAGAAAAAAGCGTTTACTATGACAAACAGGGTGAACAGTTCTTTCAAAAGATAACTTTCACAACCGCTAAATATATATATTCCCTTGGTGTTATAGCCTTCTAATATATGGTAAGATTCACGCTGTCAACAAATGACGAAACATTACTTTCTTTGCACGAGTGTAAAAAATAGAAAGAAAGCCTAGATCAAGATGAAGTAAAGACTAGCTTTCGTTTTTTCCTACGAGCGTTTTAAATATTCCCTAATTTGTACAATTTCCATCGGGCCTTTGGCCATGTTTTAAATAGGCCGATTTTAAACTTTCCTATTTTTCGCAATCACGGAGCTTCGCTGAAACTTTAGAATATTGTTTTTGAAAAGAAGTTTACAAGAGTGTTCTTGGTGAATTAAAAATAAAATCGAAGTTTTTTATCGGGCGCCGGATTCTCGATGATTACGTACTGACAACGGCTTCAAAGTACTAGGCTTCCAAAGAACCGATCGGAAAAGCGCAGGAACCATGCAGTCCAAGTGGACTGGGTCGGAATCACCCTACCTGCCTATCCGCCTATCCGTGCCTCTGGCTTGGTCTTGTTTGCGAGAGGATCCCTTAGTTGACAAGCTGACTTCGTTGATGATCGAAGCCAAAAGTAAACAAAACTCGGCAACTTCGATGGAAGAAACAATATAATGTAAAAGGAAACTAAAACTGCAATGGGGTCTTCGCAGCTTGTCATAAAGGAGCTTAAGCAACGACGACTGCGACATCAACGAGAACGGCAAAAAAGCAATAAGTTTAGATTGAAAAAACAAAAACTCTGCGCGTACATCACGCTTTTTTGTACATTCCCTCGTCACTACACGACTATGACGTGAAAATGCCTTATTTCACGTTTTGTGGAGGACGTGAACCGGCAAGGCAACGAACTTTCTTCTTCTTTTTCTGAACTTCGATACAGTCTTTTAGAATTCAACTCAGAAAAAATTGCCAAGTTTTGACGAATGAGAGAGAATAAGCGCGATAGAGTTTGAAGCAGCGCGACTTCACTTTTTAAGCCGTCGTTGTTGCTTAAGCTCCCTATTCACATGGTACAAAACCGCCCACGCTAGAGAGCAAGGGTCACACTGAGACAAGACAAACAATGGAAATTAGCATTTTAATTGATGAACGCCTATTGTTTGTCTTGTCCCAGTGAGTCCCTTACTACCCTGGTCCCAGAGGTTTTTCTTGATTTTTCTTCGCGGAAGAGATCAAGAGCAAGCCGTGAAGCGGCGACAACGAGTCGCGAAAGCGACGAGCAGAGAGAGAAAAACCTCTGAATTATTGTGTCAGGGACAAAAATATTGTGTCAGGGTCAAAAATAAATCAAAAATAAGAGAGTCATATTGCACTATTCCTTTCTTTCATAGCACTTACAGGAACAACGACAGCTCTTAGCCCCAATAACTCTCGAAGGTCGATAGTGCAGGCCCTCGGCCACTCCCGGCACTACGAATGACGTTTTAAAGTAAGCGTTCCCAACTTTGTGCGAAGGAAGGCAGGGTGTTGCTCCGTTATGATTTTGTGGGTAACTTGGATTTCACATTGACTCTTCGCATTATAATGTCACTCAATAACTTTTTTTAAATAGTACTGAGTTGTCTAAAAACGCGATGCGGTAATAGCTCAACTTATCTACGCATTAACAAACCACACACCGTTCAATGATGCTAACATGTAACAGAAAAAGTAATTCTTTCTAGGTATTCCACAATGAAATAGCCGTTAATTCTATTACGTAACAAAAGCCCGTGGCTACCCTATACGTGTCTACGCATGGTGGGTTTCTTATATAAGGTCAGTTTCTCTTCCCAATAGCGTGCTCAGTCTTTTCGGTGTTTCGCACACTCGCCCACTTTCCGCCCAGACGGAGTAGAAGTTTATTAATGTGGATGTATCATAATTTATTACTTTATGGTTTGGCTATTAATTGTCTTATTTACTCAAAGTAGATTCTATGTTGTTGTTTTTTTCAGTCAATTTATTTCAGTCGTTTCCGCTGTATCAATAACTTTAATCATAAACATTCAGGCTTAACTACAAAGATTAAGACTTTAGAGAAATATCCCTTCGTTTTTCTTGTGAACACCAGTTAATTTACTACAACTAGTCAATTTATTTAGTATTTATGTTAATTACTACCCTACAGTACCATCTTTTAAAATTTGTACAGTTGCAGAAATTATAACACATTATTCAAAAAGGTACCACTTTACAACAAAAAGTACATCCCCTTGGTTGTATGCTGTGAGTTTTACAGTGAGTAGCAAATGAAAAAAAGTGATTATGTTGTCGTAACCTGAGTGTTTACCCAACGAGTGAAAGTATAGTGACCAACAGTTTTCATACACACCAACATAACAATTAGGAAATAAAGATATATGCTGCAGGGAAGTTCATAATCGATACTTCACTGTAACGTTTTTCTATTCCCCTGAGTATATCAACTTGCAATACATCATTTTATAAATTATTAATGTAAAGACCATAAAAAACGAAAGAAAAACATTGACGACTTAGCGCTGCGAACGAATGAAATTTCTCATGCAAAGAAGCAAGGGCAAAAAAATCGTGCACAATGCAATTTTTGGAATGCGCTTTTCTTGTAAATCATCCCCCAGTATCAGATCCTTTGCCCATTTTTTATTTTTACTGAAACCCGTCTCGTGTTTTAAAATAACTCAGTTCGAAGCTGTAAATATCATGATCGAATCATAAGCCGTCCAGAATTAGGAAAAGATATTCTTGGTTTGGAACCACGTGACAAGGCGGCCATGTTGGTGGTCAATACAACAGAATTATTTCCTGAAGAATTTGCATGAAAATGGAGCTTAGTCAAGGGAGAGAGATGCTTTGGTTCTTGATCATCAAAATGGCGCCGTGACGTCACGTGCAAACCAGCAATATGTCATTTCTGAGTTCCCCCGGGCCTCTGTATCAAAACGAGGGTAAGTGCTCAGCCTTTAATATGGAAATCATTTTCATTCTCACGCAAATAAAACTCATTTTCACAAGAAAGGTTGTGCACTTAGCCTCAATTTGAAAGTGAAGGTTTTTGGAGCGCGGAAGTGGCCCATTCCCGGAAGTTATTTATGTCCTCTTCCCTCTTCAAACCTCCACTTTCGTCCCCCCTCCCCCCCCCCCGGAATGTCGAAATATGTAAAGATGAAATCGTTAGTTATATCTGTCATTTTCAAGTAGCTGATTATAAGCTTCGAAATTGGTTCGAGGTGAAAGTTACATTATATTGTTCCGGATAAAAGATACATATCCACTTTCGACTATCCGACTTAACTTTGGAACAAGATGTACAAGGATTTTTTAGATTGTAGATTGTATTGTAGATTTCTTCCGCGGACAGTATTTCAATCCCAGGCTAAAGAAATGAGGTTTCTTATTTTATTTTTGGCCAGCTGCGCACGTCTTCACATGGGTAAGTTAAATTTTTAGTTCTTAGCTTTGTATGGTAACGTAGGAATAGAGATCCGAAAGGTGGAAACTGATATAAATAAATGCCCTGG